AGTGGTTGTGGCGGTCCGGTTGCCTCTCTCACGCCTCAGCGGCCTTACACCGAACCAAAAATACCTCAGCACCACCAACGACGAGAGAAAACATTACAGTCATTCCCGCCTACAAATTATGATTATTATATTATTAACCAACCGACATTACGCGCTACAGCTGTAGCTTACTAAAAGCCTATTTATTTAAAATGTAATTATTTAAAATAAGTGTTTGTTTAGAATAAAGTTTATCAGACCGCGAATTTACTGATCATCCTTTTATTTATTAGTAGCAGTAAAAACCCGCTACAAATTTGTAATAACAGTGCCATCTTACAGTTACTGAATGAACTAATTATTATGCGGGAACAATAATATTAATTAAAACGTAGTTATCGAATACGTAATCGAGAATAATATTCGAGTGAGCACCATTCCTGCTGTTCATTGAATAAAAACATTAAAATAATTTGATTTTTGAATAAAAAAATGGTTTTCTATTTTTTTTCAACATGGCGTACCATTTGTTAATATTCGTAAAAGTCATAATTCCACAGGAAATTGGATGAGGAGTTCAAAAAAAATAGTTTCATAATTGTGCCAGAACTCTATCATAGTTAAAAATTAAAATTAAAAGAAAAGCGTCATTTTTTTCGAGGTTCTTATGAACCAATATAGCTCATAATTTTTTTTCCTAGAAGCTACCATCATCCCCCAAAACATATTAAAAATTCAAATCAATCGGCTCACGGGTTTCTGAGAAAATCATTTTTTTCTGAATTTCAGCTTTTTTCGATTTTCTCGAAAACGGTATTAGATGAAGAGCTGAAACTTGCAGTATCGAAGTATCTTATAAGTACCAACATACCCTGAAATTATAAGCCAGATATCTTTCTGGGGCCGATTCACTATACTTATCGGCCTATGGCCTTTACACTTGTGATATTTAATAGTCTTCTACTTCATATAAATCTAAATCTAACATAAAAAATACAGTTTAATTTATTGATTTTTTCAAGCACAAAAAGTAATGCGAACAAATGTTTTAATTTACGTTTCTGTTATTAAAATCATGATTGTTTTTTTTTTTTTTAAAGACTCGTTACTCTCATCACTTATAAAATATATTTTAGTAGTTTTAAATAAAAAATGTATTAAATTCCGTATTATTAATTAGGTTTATCGCTATACCTCGGTAACTAAAAAAAACTACGCTATTCGAACTCAAAGTTAGATGGACCCTAGCTATTATCACAAAGTGAATACACTTATCGCAACTCATCCTTAGTGTTTTTATACTGTAATTATCTTGTAGAAGTACCGTAATGTTGAACTAAACTTCTAACCAAAGAAGTTGATGTAATTTTAATAAAACTTTGATGACCTGTCACTTAGAATGTATATGTATTTCTACGGTATCTTTCGAAAAACTGCATCAATTGGTAAAATTATTTATTCATTAGTTTCAGATTCGTATAAAAAAAAACCTTAGAAATTATTATCAATAATATTCTTAAACTAATAAGAAGTGTTACTAATTAATAAATACATAAACCGAGAATTGATTGTCGAAAGTCCGTCATTAAAAAAGAAAGCTCATCCAGCCTGAGTCCGCCGACAAAGTAGTAGCAATATTAAAGACGGTTCAATCAAATTATGGATTAATAAAATTTTCTTTGCTTGAATGATATTAACATAAAAATAAATGAAGTGATTAAAAAAAAATTTGATTAGCTAAGTGTCGAGAGATAAGAAGAATAATAATTTTTTTTTATCTTAAAAACTAAAAGAATCCGGGAAGAAAAAAAATACGAAGATAGAGAAAAGGAAGTAATCAAGTTCGTAGATCTCATAATGGTCTTATAGAGTTTCCCCTGTGGGCAATACACTTGGAGCAAGAAGGTAGAACTACTGCTATGCTATAATAAAAGGAGAGAAAATATACGGCGTGGTATAAAACTAGGAATCTTTACTTTTGCTTAGGTACCTCCTTGAATAGAAGAAAATAGTCAAATGAAGACTCTTATTCTTATATTACTAAAACTCTTACGCAAGTAATCGGCTTTGTAAAGTATGGTAAGGTTACACCTTGATTCTTAATCGTGTTTCTCACGCTTTTGTTCCATTAACGTAAAAATAAATAAGGTAAAGTTTTAACTAAAACATTTTGTCTAAAAGTTCGCCAAGCATCAATCTCCATTTTCTTCCTGTCTCTTTTGTCAGTAACTTATGAAAAATATAGCCTGAAAAAAAAAAATAGCGATTCTTCTGCAAGTGTCGCCTGAAGACACATTTCTCTTCGATCATATTCAAATTTTTATTTTTATTATTATTATTCTTTCAACTTTCATGCTCCAGTTTATTCTATACTTTTAGTATTTTTTTTTCTTTTATCTCTCAAAGTACTATTAAAAGTTTCCACTACCATGGACGACCGATTTTTGATCGCTGAGAATACGCCGAGGAACGTAATGAATAACTTTTAACTCAATTATTTACTTAAAAAATTTTTATTCTACCCTTTTTTTTCTTATTTAGACTAAAATAGTTTAATTACTGTCAATTTGTGTAAATAAATATAAATACAATTTAAGAAAAAAAAAAATTTTATCTTGATGATTGAACGCACTGATAGAAAAATTAAATAATTCAAGAAAAATAATTTTGAACCAAGGAAGTTATTTTGATAAAAAACGGTTATTTTGGTTTTTCAATTCATTCTATAGATTTTTACATCCTTAATAGAAAATGAAATTTTTCAGTCAAGAATAATTTTCTAATTAAGAAGAATTTTTTCTATTTTTTCTTTTAGGTATAAATTTTCTTGTTTAAATGTTATTAGCTTAAACTTAAAAAAAATGAAATCTCTATTTAAGAAAATAAAATTATTTTTTTGGATTTCATCAAATTTCGAAGTTTGTGTGTAAACTTCTTCTAACATTTAAACTGCTTGACTGATCCAAATGCGGTTTGCAGTATTTTAAAGGGTTCCATCAAACTTAGATTTTCTGAAAATTTGAACCGGTTTGCCTCAGTAGATTTTGAGAAATCTCAAAAATGAAATTTTCATAAAAATATTTTTTTAAAACCACTTTCAAGTTCCTTTATCGATTGCTCCCATAATCAAACCAGTTTTTAACTTAAAAAAACAACGTCGATTGCCGAAAACCGGATTAAAATCAGTTAATTCATTCAAGTGATGTCAAAAAATTCGATAAAAGTCTTTTTTTTTTTATATATATATATCTTTGGAATTTCTCATCAAATCGTTTTGCAAGTAGCGAATAATTATGTTCGTGCTCTAATATTTACGTTGAATGCCGCAGACCGCATCAAAACCAGTTCATTTATTTGAGAAATATCGCAGTTCAAAATAAAAAAAGTGCTATTCTAACGAATACTGCAATATATCCGTGGAATTTCAAACTCAAAGTCGTATACAGGTTACATTTTTGAGCTTGGTGAGCTTAAAACTTAGCAGAAAGTTTATCAAGCGATGTGAGCTCAAATACAGCGGACAATTCCATGGATGGGCTGCAGAGTCAACCCTTTTTCAGATTTTTTTATACAGAAAGCATCATGAATCCAAAAGTTTTATCAGTTTTATCGGAATATTTTTAATGAAGTCGAAATAATCTTGAACCAATGTTCAGGAAGAAAAATATAAGTGTCTTATTTAAAAACCATATGGAACTTTGTTGGAGACTAAAATTTTTGAATACAGAATTTTTTGACTATCCAAAAATTTTACAACAAAAATGTGATTTTTAAGAAAATATTTTTCTTGAATCAAGTAATTTTTTTTTGTCAGCGCACATCTATTCAATTAAAGAACAATAATAAAATTAATCATGATAAATTATTAAACTAAAACAAACAATTATCTTGTAAATTAAAGTCCTACGGTTTCTTCAGAACAAATATAACCTAATAAAACACATATTAAATTTTGTATCGAGGATACTAAATGATATTTTAACCGTCCAAACGGCGGCTAAATCAAGCCTTAGTTGTATTTACACAAAGCCGACGAGGGTTGACTCGATATACTTTAACTTGGAGAGGATCTGTGAGGACAAGTGACTTTAATTAATCTCACTGTGTAAATACAACGAATAGAACTACGTCTCTCTTTGTACACTGACAAGGCTAGAATAAGAGAAACAAAAGTCTAACACATTAAATTTTTTTAAAATAAATCTTTTTTAGACTTTTTTAGTACTGAAAATTTTATCATTTTATTTTATATTTTACATTTTTTAATCTACTTTTTGGTATATTATTATTACCTGTACTCATAAGTTATTCATTATCTTTTAATCATTTTTATGATTTATTTATTGTTTCTGTGTCGCTTTTTTAATATTTGACTTTTACATTCACCGGGGGTAAAATAAATAAAATTATGTCAGAATAATTGGAGTAAAATAAATGAATAATTAACCAAGATGAATAAATAACCAATAAAAATAAAAATTCTGTTAAATATCTATGAACAACATAAATTAAATAATGTATCCCTTTGAAAATATTCTCATTTTTTAAACTTTGTACAAAACGACTAGAAAAAATTTTCTATGAAAGACTTAAAAAAAAATAAAAAATTCGTTGCTTGAAGTTTTTTTAAAAAAAGTTTAGAATAATCTGATATTTTTAAAGAACATTTTTTTATTTTCATATATAAATGTTTGATTAGATGCAAATGCTAATAAATTGTTATAAAAATAATTATTGAATAGTTGATAACTTATGAGTGCTTAATTAAAATAAAAACATTGTAAATATCAAATCGATATTATCAATAAAAACAACAGCATTTAAATCGCTTTCTTATTCTTATTATTATTATCATTAGTTTTTTTAGTGGAAAACATTTTTCACATTGTTATACTTTAATCAGAATGGTAAATTTTTTTCATAAATTTATGCCGTGACGGCAAAGTGATTTAACAGCAAACTTATTATTAGTTTGCGATGTAATTTTATCCTTGGTGATAAAAAATTAATATTTGAGGTTTTCATACATCACGATAAGATCGGCAAGGAGGGGGTGGTCCACTCCACATACCGTTTTCGCGACAAGTAGGCCTTTTAACTGGTTCGAGAGGTGTTACGTACCCAGGTGAACAAGTTACTTGGATAGTGTCTTCAGGTTTGTACCAAAATTTCAGCGGGGCTATTTTTCCATGTGGTGGGTCGCCTGGATATGGACATCTTACTTCACCTGAAACAGTAAATATTTACAATTATAATAAAAATTAAAAACAAATAATTAAAAAAATTATTTACAAGATAAACTTTTTTATTAATTAAAATAAAATAAAATATCTGATGTAAATATAAAGATAATTGGATGAATATAAAATTGAATAGTTCATCTGTTGAATTAAGTAATTATAAAGTTTATTAACGATTTCTTTGACGGAAAACTTTAAAGATTGATTAAACTTTGAAAATAAAAAGTTACATTGAGGCGGATCGTGTGACCACGTTCCATTTTCCATGCAGATAATTGATGCTTCACCAATCAGTTGATGACTAGGCAGACACGCAAACCTCAAAAGAGATCCTACTTTCTTTACACGGACACGTTTCTTTCCAGAACTTGATCGATCTTCTATAATTTTTGTATTTTTTGGTATAGCTGGCAGCCGGCAAATTATTTCTTAAAACAAATAGAGAAAAAATATTATTAATTTTTTACGTCGATATTGTCAGATTTGTAATACACCCTAATTCAAGTTATGTGAAGAGAAAATATTAATTTATACTACTATTCAATAGTCTATGTACATAATTCTATTATCATTGCTTGAATTGATACTTATTAGTAATTAGGTCGTATTGATACAAAATTATTATTATATTTAGAAATCTCGGTTACTAGTTATAAAACAAAGTTATCAATTTATTTGCTGACGTCTCATTACGCAAAGCATTTCAGAGAAAATGCATTTTAATTAAATTATCAGAATATGACGTCATATGACATTATAAAATTTTACTTGACGTCACAAAACTTTAAATTAATTTATGAAATAGATTGATAATATTTTCTAATTTTAAAATTATAGTCTCTGAGAAATTAATAAAATATTTTTGAAGGTTCGATTATTTTTAATTATTCCCTGACATGTAAAAATACAAATTTCACAATAAATAGTAAAATAAATAAAGTTAATCTTACGAAAACAATGAGGAGGAGGAGAACTCCACTTTCCGTCATCTCTGCAAATAATTGTCGCTTCACCAATTAGATTATTACCCCACATACAATCAAAAGACGCTCTACCCCCAACGGTATTGTTATACGCTAATACTTGTAGTCTAGGGTTTGTTATATTTATTTGCGGACAAAGTATTGGCTCGCAGTGTGGTACTTCACTTGACCATATTCCTGTAATATTAATTTAATTTTCCATTATACAACCGAATATACAATATATTGTCATAATCATAGTTATAATTTATTAATTATGTTTGTCAATACCGTTATAATTATATTGATCAAAATCATAATTTATCATAAAATATTTAACATCAAATTTTCATTGTATGAATTATATCATTTAACAAAAAAAGTAAAGAATGCACTGACCGTTGTATTGACAATTCAAACGTTGAGATCCTTCGAGTCTGTAACCATCTGGACATTCGAATTCTGCTTTATGTCCCATTCTCGTTCCTTGAATTCTTGAGATCATTGGCGAAGCAACTGTCAATGTAGGGCAATGTAAGTCTGTAAAAAGATAAAAGTAAATCAATAAATCATAAGAATAAGAAATCTTTTCATAACTTCTATAACTTGTTTGAATATTGTATTTAAGTGAATAAATTTTACCTATAACGTGTATGCGGATTGAATTAGTCAAACCTTTCGGCGTCGAACAAGTATAAACTCCAGAGTCTTGATTTTTGACGTAGTATATCGATAATCTGTATTTCCAATCTTTTTCCGACGCAGCAATTGCCCAGCCTGAAATTTATTATTTTATTATCTGTCGATTGAGGAATTTTTTAATAATTTTCAATATTTGATAAAGAACATGATGGAAATCATTTCTTGCTTTCTTAGAACAATCCGCTGAAATATTTATAGGTAATCTAAAAAAAATTTAGCGTATGTTTATGCAGTTTAAAAAAATAAATAGAAGAACCTGAGGGACAAAAACTTATCAAAGCAGGTGTATGTATTTTGTTTCCTTTTGATGTCCATTTTTCGTCATTTAGTAAATTAAGCTTCTTGCAACGTAAACTAATTTATTGGCCATGTCACCTGGTCAAATGAACGCAATATTCATTAATGGTGAATGATTGAAGAAACTGAAGCGGCTTAATAATAAACTAATGACAAGCTGTCGAATCAAAGGCTTGAGATTCTTTGTGAGCAAAACGTTAACGTCCTGTTCAGAAGCTGTGTTTTTTTATAGTTTACCGTTAAAATTCATAGTAACTTTGATAAGGTTAAGTTGATACGAGTATCAGAAAAATACAAATTTAAAAGTCAATGTTTGAGCGTATACTTGGCGTGAGATATAGCCGTGCCTCTCAGTTTTTCATATTCGACTTACAAAGCTCGAATAGTTACCGAACCAATCGATTCAGGCCGACTTTATCGATATTCATGTATTAGATTATTCCATTTTAAATATTTGTTTACATTTATTATTTTGTCAAATACTCAAAAACCAGAAGAATTTAATCACGTTTATTTTAATTTATGCCGAATTATTGAAATAATGAAATTTTTTAAAATACGAACTTAAAAAATATTTATTTTGTTTCTATATTCAGGTTCGCTTGTTCATTCTTAGCCAATGGTTTAATTTGTTCGCTTAAACCAAGTTTTGTAAATAAAATTCGATTTTAACATGTTTGTTTATGTAAATTTTTTAACTTCCCGCTAAGAAAATTGAAAATTTTCAAAAATTGGGAAGTTATTGTTTTCACCCTGTTTTGCAAAAATCGAGTTTTCATCAGATCTCGACGTTTGAAGGTCATAGGAAGCTTCCCTGACTACCCCTGCGATGTTGTGTGTTGTCACTGTGTGTGTGTGTGTGTCTCGATCGATTGGATTGAGATAGGTGGCGATCCAAAGAGTATGATTGCCATTAAATTTTGTGAAAATTTGAATCGATTCGGTTCGCTAGATTTTGAGTAATCTCAAAAATAAAATTTTCAAAAAATGGTTTTTTTTTTGAATAACTTCTAAACGGCTTTACCGATCGATTCGAAAAAAATGATCTTAATGCTCTTAAGCTTGAAAAACAGCGTCAATCGCTGCCAATCTGGTCAAAATCGATTGTTTCGTTCATGATATATCGTTGTCGAAAAAAATAAAAAAAAATGTTTTTTTTTCAAATTTTCTATGAAATTTTTCGTCTGACCAGTTCGCATTCTAAAATTCTTTAAAGATCTCAAAAAACTGCGTTGAATGCCGTAAACCGCGAGAAAATTGGTTTATTCATTCAAAAGTTATTGCGGTTTGAAAATTCAAAAAATAGTGTTCTATGAAACTTCTATCAGACTTTTGAGCTGGAAGAGCTCAAAAACAAAATAAGTGAAATGTTGAGCGCTTAGGTATGTATGGAGTTAGCGGAAAGTTGCAGCGATGGCCTTTAGGGTCAACCATTTTCCTAATTTTTTTATATAATTTTGTAGAAAATTTGTTTGTTTAGAAAATTTAACCGAAAGGTATTGACTTTAGCTTTCACATATCGTTAAATATTCTTAACAAGCTTATTTGTTGGCTATAACTATAACTAAACTTTAATAATATTAAAATTTTAGTATTGAGAAATTTAAAAAATAGACACACTAAAAAATGTGTTAGTATTCATTTCGAAACCAATACAAAAAATTGGAGCAAAAAAAAATTTTTTTTTTCAATGTAATTGACTAGTTAAAAAAAAAAAAAAGTAATTTTTTTCTACTCTCCAACGTCTAAACCTTCTAAAGCAATTTTTTTTAATTGTTACACTTAAAAAAAAAAGCAAGAGTTGAACGAGCACTCGAAACTAAATTGTTCGGCACAATAGAAACTAGAGTACATAAAAACCGAAATAGTTACAAGATTTTTTTTCTCCGGTTTTAAATTGCGCTCTCTGTATAGGATATTATTTACAGTACCCTTTTTGTTGTGAAAAAGTGAAAGAAAAAAAAATTCACCTGTGAGATATTGACGAAACGTCGACGTCCACGTCCATTCTGGATTACCCAGCTGTCTAGCGAATAAACACTCGAGATGTAAAATACTTCCAGGAAATACTGCTAATGCTCCAGAAGGTTCTATTGCTGCTGATCCCGTTGGTAATCCAAATAATATTGTCGGTGGGGCATTTTCTGTAAAAAAAAAATTGGTTGTCTGTAAAGTCGGTTTACGGACGATAGTTTTACGTGATAACGTCATAAAGAAACATTGATGAAAAATTGCATACTTTTATGGATTGAATTGAATTATTATCACTGAATTATCATTATTTTGTATTTAAAAATTTCAAAATTTTGTATATTTAAAAATTATTTTAACAAAAAAAAAGGACTTATTGATAAATTGTTAATCAAAAATTGATACAATAAATTTATAATTGATATGATTATTATTATTTATAATTAATATTAATTATTTTATTAATTTATTATTTTTTATTATTATTTTATTAATTCATCGTTTACAATTATCATTAATTTATTTATTTATAATTGATATTCTTTATTAACCAGTATTAATATTATCAACAATAATAATCTGATATAATTGATATAATTTGTTTAAATATAATCACGAACAATTAGTTATAGAACAATATTCTGACTGCTAGCTCTGACGTTGCGCGAAAAGAGAGATATATGCCATAAGCCAATGCTTGGGCCTCTCTATCGGTTGTTGCGCGCTCTCGCTTGCACTCACAGACTCAGGCGGAATGCTCAGGAGGAACACAAAAGCGGAACGGTCTATCGGAACGCGACATTTTTTCGTGAGCGCTGTCGGTGTTCATCAATTTATAAGACGCTATCACGTCAAAAAAAAAAAAAAATTAACTAAGTTTAGTAATAAAAATTAATTTCAGCAAAATAACAATTTTTTTAATTTCAAAAGGCTATTTAAAAATGAAGCTGTCCTAACCAGCGTCTAGTGAACCGGACCATCTTCAAAACATCATATCTTGAATTTAAACTGGTTCCTACATTATTTATGACAATAAAAACGAGATGTTTTGTTCCAGCTCACACATACAATTTTGTGGCTAAGCAATAGCAGCTGTTTCTGCACTCTTAGTACGGCACACGGCGTTATTTCGTATATAATTCTTTTCACTATTCTCCGGCAACCCTTTTTCATAGCAATTTTTTTTGTCACTACACAGCGATTTTTAATTCAGACTTCATCCTTGACAAGTAATGTGACTCATGAATAAAAGACTGATTATTATTGTGTGGTTTTATAAAGATTCGCATACGAGGAATATTGAAAAGTTCTCGTTAAAATAAATTGAAAATTATAAATGAAAAATTTGTATGCAATCAACTTTTGTATAGAACGGATATAAAGAACCTAGATAATTTATAAAAAATTAAAGTTTAATGAAGGTATTCTAATTTTTCTACAAAAGTAAATTACTTTTCCCAAAAAAAAAACATATTTCTTTGTGACGTTTTTTCAATATTCTGTTAAAAAGTTCTAGTAGGTCAAAATATACAGCCAAATAATGCCCAATTCAAAAATATCCACGATAAGTATCTAAAATAAATAAAATAAAATTTTTTGCTCATTTAATAAGAATATATAATTTATTTTTCATGAATAGATAACTTGTTAGCGATAAAAAAAACTAAATCTAGAAAGTAATAGTAGAATTGGCACTTATTCTTATCCGATCTTTAAAACTTGTAATTTTCGCTTTTTGACCATGATTATTGACGTCATTTGTTATTCTCAACAGTACATAAAATTAACTTTGATAATTATTCTTACAAATAATGAGTTACTGAATAATTAGGGATTGAAAAAATATTTTCTGATTTTTACTGCCTTATTCAAGTTGTAATTTCAAATCTATGGTTTATAGTTTTATCTTATAGTAAGTATATAAAGAAATCAGTTAATACGAATAAGCAGATTGAATTAATATTTATGAAAATAATTTTTTTAATTTTTAGGTTTCTTTTGAAATATATTTACAATTTGTTGATTTAAGCAGTTAAATGAGTACAAGGGAGGTACGTGACATTGGTTATTGATTAAAAATACCCGAAGAAGAAAAAAACCTTTGCTTTTGATATTATTTTAAAAAATGTATTCTTTCTATAAAATTTTTTGTCTCAATTAATAGTTATTACATTATTCTTTTAAGTAATTCAAGTTATCAATTATGTCCACGATGCGATAAAAAAACTGAAAAATACATGTATAATTTTTCCAATATTCTATAGTTATTTGTATCGTAAATTACACATTTTATTTACACAATGGTTTCAAACTTGGGAAAATGGGTTACAAAGTTAATAAAAAATAAAAAATATTACTATATTGAATAAAATAATATCCAGTAGAAACGTCAAATTACAAAATACGTAAACCATTATCTGCACGCGCAAAAAAAAACAAATAAAGTTATAATTTATGGTTAGTTTTTTAACGCGAAATAAAGAAATTATTATATTCTCTTTGATTACAATGTGCATTAAAATTATGAAATATTAATTAATGAGTTCTAGAAGTTTCATTTATTATTAAAAACAATATATTAAAATGATAACGAATCCCTCATGGTATTTTACAAATTATACATACATTTTTTTTTGTTTTTGGGTGTGATTATTTATTCTTTTTGAGTTACAGTGTGAAAATGGATTCCTCGTTAAGTCAATTATTAAATTCTAACTATCATATTTTTATTATTTTATTATTTGTGCACAAGTTGGTTCAATAAATCAAAGGGGATCTGTTAATGAATAATAATTTATTAAAACTATAGGATAATTAAAATGAAAAAATAACTTGTGGATCTCAATTCTAATAATTTGATTCGTACATATGTATTGACCATATTCCTGCATATCTATCAAGTTTTTTCATAATTTGTTTCAAGTAAGAGTTGGAGTCTATATAAATGAGACAAACATCTTGCTAGAAATAGAACCGAAGCCAATGAAATGTTCACTTATTGGTCCCTGACGGGAGAAAATATGTTTGCATCGTACATGAAAAGTTCAGTATTGAGTCAAAACTCTACTCTATTTCTATGAGTCTATATAGACTTAGGGTAGAATATAGAGCATGCAATAAGCAAAAACGGAAAGCAATAAAATTGATATAAGTTTGTTTTATATTTAATAATTTATCCAATATTGTTGTAAAATAATTTTTTTTGTTATTATTGTGTTTAAACTAAGACCAGTTAAAGTAAAAAAATTATGATTATCTCTAAAAACTTAAAAATAATAAAGAAAAAAGTTATTTAGTTACAAAAATTTATCTTATACTTTACTTCGTACGAAAATTGCACCATATCTCATTTACATCGAGAATGAACATTTTTATGATGAATTTTTTTGTTTTATAATAAGTTTTTATTAGTTTAATAACCTTTTCGTTTATAGTAATATCATTGTTTTAGTAATTTTAATATTAATATATGTTAATTTAATTGTATTCGCCGAAGAGCATCTTACTTGGCGCAAAATTTTTATGGATTAGAGCTCTTTTTTATTAAATTTAATTTAATTTTTTGTCGTGATGTTATTGATAAATTAGTAGATTAGACACTAAAATTATATAAATTAGCAATAAATTTTATAAACAATGTACAATAAAATTGAAATTCAAAACTGAGCTTAATTAATGATATGAATACAAGTTTTAAAAATTATAATTCTAATTCTGTTAAATAAAAATAATAAAAATAAAAATCCGTAAATTGTTATGAAATTAGTAAATAACACCGAATGAAAATGATAAAATAACAAAATATGTCACATTACTAATAAAAACTACATAATTTAAATCCCTAAGTAAGCATGTCTACTATACCTCAACCCGGTTTACTCAACAAATATATATGTTGTACGATGATAGGGAAGACCAAAAAGATAATAATAAGAATAGGTATGCCGAAAGTGTACGTGCTTCGAAAGAGAATTTACGAAGACGTCAGTATCAATTCCCCTTGTATATTAGTACAGGCATTCTAAGTTTTCCCGCCTGCCGCAATTCTTTGGGGAATTAAAACATACAAGGGTAGTCGTTACTCTCACTGATACTTTCTCGTAGCTGTTAAACACAAATACTTTCACTAAATAAAAAAAAAAAATGAAATGAAAAGAAAAATCATTACTTAACTCTATATAATGTAGAAAGAATAAGTATGACGAAAAAAATAAATAGTGGATGAAATTAATATGAAGAGTTATTACCGCTGTAATTAGAGATGGAAGTTGTTGGTAAACAAGAAGGTGGCTTATTATTCCATTCTCCATTCCGACACTGCAGAAAAGGATTACCGACAAGTTTGTACCTTCCTAGTTCTCGACATCTCACTGTAACACGTTCGCTGTGTGGGATTGTAATCTTGTCTGCCTAAAAGACATATCGTATCATGTCATACAAATGTGTTGTATATTAAAATATAACTTTGTTATTATCTGTATATCATCATTTTGACTATTAATATACTATATTTATGTGATATTACATCACATTATGTTTTTTACTATTATTAAGTTGAGTATTTACAGAATATTTTAATTACTCCTACGTTGTAGTATTTAATATTTTATTGTATTTTATTGATTTCAAAACTTATTTTCAAGCATTAATTTTTACAAAAAAAAAAAAATCTTGAGAAAAGCGACATGAAACCACAAATTAAAAGTCGAGTATCATTACTTGCGATCATGTCAAGTTTTTATGTATATTTTGTTTTTTTTTTTGCAGTTTTTAATTAATCACATGAACTTTTACAATTTTCAAACAAATTTTTGAGTCATGAAATACTGAACATAATAAAAATAGCAGAAGTTATTTCTTCGTAGTTATAAACGTCTTCAAAAAGATAATATTAGGTTTAATAAAATTTTCTAATAACTTAAAAATTCAAAGTGTTTTCGCAGTATATAGATGACTTGCAAATAATTTTAATATAAAACTTTACTGAACTTAAAATTTATAAGAATCGATTTTTAATAATCCAAGTTAATAATTTTTTTCATTTAATAAAAAACTTACTGCTATTGTAATATTCTTGTATGTAATAATGAGGAAAGGATGCAATCCATCCAGTTTACAATCCAAACTCGTCAAGCCATCTGCAAAAAAAAATATAATCATTATTACTAAAAAATATCAAAAAATCTTTTTGAAAGATTTAATTCACCAATATTAGTCCCTCAAATTGGAATAATGGTTAAACCTAAAAAGATTAAATATAATAAACAAAGAACATAAAACGAAAGTTTGAATTCAATTATACAAGTTTCTTTTAAACTCGATAATGTGGGTTCTAAACTAATGTTTCTCTTTTTTCATTTCATTATTTTTGAATTTCCATCCCGTCATTACTTTCAGAGTCTATGACCCTTTCACTCACGAAGAGAGCTTCTGCTAACTCTTCACTAAGCTGTCAGAGAGTACTTAGAGCTTTTCATTGTTAATTTCCGTAGATATTTTGTTTCTTTCATCATAAATATATTAATCAAAATAATTATACTGTAAATTATCATTTTTCAATTTAAAAATTAAATTAAATAAGAAAAAAACATATTTATAAGATAACATGCAGGCATCGCTTAATTTTTATTTTGATGGAATTGACACATAATACAAAAAAGTAATTAATTAATTTAAAACAAAATGAATAAAATCTAAAACCATTAAAAAGTATATAAATTATTATATGCATACATTAACGTAATTTATGAATATAATTAAATCAGCTGCTTATTCCAGCTCCTGCTCTTCCAGCTTTCATACACACGTATTCTCCAATAATTCATTTTCCCATAAACATACTCGAGTTAAAAGCGGACAATACTAATTTCATTGTCTTTCAACAATGTACATCAAAGGATTATTAAAACTCAATCATAAAAACCGGTTTTTACAAAAGTAACCTGTAACTCTGAAATATCAACAATTAAAAATCAGTACAAACAATAAAAAAAAATTAAGTATAACAATTAAGTTAAAAATATATAAATTATGATACTAAAAACAGCCAACATGTTTTTATCGAAAATTATGATAAATTAAACTTAAATGTAAACTTTAAGTTTTATAAAAAATTGCAAAATTGCATGTCAAGACTGAACATGATTGAAATTTTCATACTAAATTTTATTTGAATTTATAAAAACTAAACAACGGTTTTCCGTATCATAAATTAATGTAAAAAATAATAATTAATATTTCACCTTGTTTAGCATAACTTTGCACGATGAGACCCGGTATTATTAAAATAATAAACCATAGAGAGTTGAGATTAACAGTCATCATAGATATGGGTGGGTAGATTATAATCTCAACGTATTTCACATCAATAACATTAACGCATTAACGCACTGATAATTATCTAATAAATAAAAATAATAATAAATAAACAATAAGAAGTCACTTATCTAAAATTTGGCACAATATGTCCTCTTAGTCACAGGAGTTAAATAAATTGTGGATAAATAATAACAGCTACATGGTATTTAATAAATATCGCGGTACATCCGTTGATGTCCGTAACGAAACTGAGTTTGAGCTTTTAGCTTTAGCTGGACGTGGATGTTTAAGCATACTAGATACTAGAGTTTTATCTTCGAGTATACAGTCTAGTGTGTAGTGATATATAATATTAGCAAGTAACCAAGTAAAGCTTAAAGCTACTAGCTGGTATTCGTATCGGGGTAGTATAGTAGTTTCATCCCCCACGAACCACCGCGATAAACCCCAGTCTCCAGTCGACGAGTCTACGGAGTTTGCCTAGGAGCTTTTCGATTCTCCAATCCGATGCCGAAAATTCATCTCGCGCAAGCGCTCATCTTCAGCTTTAGCTTATTCATTTTCATTATTATATCTTTCCTTTTTACTTGTTACTTTTATAAATGCTGTATTATATCTGTGTGAGTCTTTGTTTTTATGTTTATCTATAAATAATTATTTTTATTAATCATGATTATCTTGATCTGGTATTAATTTTACTTACTCTTATCTGTAGCATGTCTATAGTCTGAAGACTATTATATACCTAGAGTAAGTTATAGTCGAGTTTTAGTGAAGTAAAGTACAGTTAGTTTTTTTTCCTTCATCACTTTTAAGACTTACTACCATGCACCGGGTCAATTAGTACGTCCACTTAGTCTTACTGCCATTATGTAATTTTCTTTCAGCTGCAAAACAATTTTCAAGAGTGCACTTTTATTCTTTCATCTTCTTTCTTACCCTTTTCATCTTATTCATTGTAATTGTTACTGCGTATAGGAGTATTTTTTATACAACTATAAAAAAGTCAAGTAGAGAAGTAAGTTTTAATGGAAAAAAATACGTTGAGTTAAATTATATAATATTTATTAGGACTTTTGTAAGAAACTCTCATTACTTCGATTTTTATTTGTTTTTATGGATAGGAAGAAACTTAAAAATTTAGAAAAATGAGAATTGTAAATTGGTTTTTAATTTACGAATAAATAAATTTAATAAATGAGATGTTTTAATTGTAGTAATATATTTTAAGATTTATTGTATATTTTAATGAACTTCTTTGAAGCAGTTAACAGATGTAATTGTCAAAGGAAATTTAAAATAAATTAATTTTTTAAACATTGTTATGGTAATTAAAATTTTAATAACAAGTTAATGTTTATTTTTTTTTTTTTTTTTTTCATTTTAATAACTGAAAACTCATTATATAGTATTAACTTCTTTGAATGTTTTAGATTAACTTTCTGTCAAAAACAAAAAAACATACCCAGTCACTAAAATGGATGAAGTTATATGCGTTTCAGTCTTTGGAAAAAAAATATATTTAAATTAGAATCTGTATGTATTATTTATAAAATATATATTATTCACAATGGGATTTTTGTATGTTTAAAATAAAAATTAGTGAAATATAAAAATTACTGATGCTTTTTCATCAAATCAATGTATTTGGAATTTTATTATATTGTTTATTAGTAGAAATTGTAATGATTTTTAAAAACACGCAGAAATTAATTTATAAAAAACTTAAAAATATTAATGAAAATAAATCCGATAATAAGAAATAGACTTTGATTACTTTGTGTAGAGATTGTATTTTCGATAGCAAATTAATTAAATTGGCATTAAAATTGTAATAATTGTTTACTTTGACAGCTTAGAACATAGTTGCAATAAAAGATAAAAAAATCAGTTTTATTCTTTTATTATGAAAAAAATGATTGAAAATGAATTTAAGTTTCAGAAAAAAATTCAACTTCTTTTTTAATAATCATATATACCGTTTACTAAAATACAAGCTTAAAAATTATACAATTTTTCATTGTTTCTGTATCAAAAAATTAATTCAATTCGAAAACAAAACGGAAATTAATAATTTAATTGAAAAAATTTTACAATTAAAACCATGAATCTTTACAATTATATAACCAACCAATTAAAATACAATCATCAAACTAGCTATTTTAATACTAGACATAAAATTTAACACTTGTCATGAAACTTTATGTTACGTAATAGAATAAACGAATTTAATTAATGGACTGTAATTATTATTCTGTTTTATCCCAAGATCATAAAAATTTTTATACAACGTTAAGGTAATGGATAAAATTTATTTCACCGAAAAACAATTCTTTTTCATAGATATATTAGTTTTTTTATTGACAGTAGACTGATTGATATTCATTTTATTATCTTAATTTAATTAAAAAAATAAAAAGTCAAATAAAAATTTATTATAATTTGTTTAGACATTGTTACCAAAATTTTATTTTTCTTTAATTGTTAAATATACTTTTTTTTTGATGTCGTCACAAAATCTAATTTCTTTATATTATCCTACTCAACATAAATAATATTATATAGTATTACTTTTAATAACTTCAATACATTGTTATTATCTTGATGTACATTTTAATAAGTATTATAAATATTTTTATATTTTAATAGAATAAAATAATTTTAAGCTTAATTTACTAATTGGGAAGAATAAAAAAACTCAATAAATCCTGATTTGCCGTTCAAGGCTTCTTTAATTAATTAAAAATAAATAAAACAAAAATTCTTATTTTAATTACACAGTAACTATACACACATCACACTCTTAATACTTTGATCTTAAGTCTATCAGACTTTCATTTAAAAAATCATAAATTAAATTAAATAACTAAATTTAATTAAATGCAACTAAGTACAATAATAATCGGTGGGTTTACAATTGTTAAAAAAAAAAAATTTGAATAAATTTGCCAAGAAATTAGTATACAGTTTCATTAATTTTCATTAGTCTGTTAATAAAAATGCTTAATAATTTTTAAAATAATTATTTTCCTTTGGCGATTGCCAGAACATGGCTTTTTGTAATACCTTTCGGAGGCACATATAATAATAGATAAACACTAAACTGCCAAATCACAGTTTTCAGATCAGGTATCAAGTAAAATAAAACGACTTAATTTTTAAATTCATAAATTCTGTCATAAACCTTAAACTGGTAAGCTACACATCTTTAATCGGAGCAAATTTAAAATAATATTATTATTATTATTATTAAATAATGTTTTTAAAAAATCAGTCATAAGTCACATTCAATACGTAAAATTTTCATTAGTAATTTTCCGTTCATTTTGTTGTTTAGTATCTAATTCTATTCATACAAGCATCGTACAAGTGATCAGTCTTCTGGTTTACAGTTTTTCATGATAATTTATATGTTTCATTAATAATTTCATTATAACGAACAAACCATTCAAACTTCAATAAAAATTTCAAGTAAAGTTATAAGAGAAATTTCACTTAGAAAAAACGAGTTAATCGACGAAAAAAAAAATCAGTAGAATTAACTAAGTAAAAAATATTTTCAAGTATCAATTTAAAATTAACTAATTTATCGTTTACAGTTTGATTATACTTCATTTTGTGTCTTTTAAATTTATATTATAATTCTATTGTAACTGTTGTTCGGGTAAAAATACTCTAACATTCGATATTTTTATATATTTATATATTTATGGCATTAGCAATAGTGTTGGCTACTTCATTTATATATCAAAGTATTGGCATCGTGATTCTGGAAAATATTTGTATCTTTATAGTATTTACGGCTCGGTATCCTGTATGTGTGTTTTTGGTCCACGTTGCTGACCTAAAACATAATATTAATTAATTCATGAACTATTAAAGGGTTGTCGTTTTTTTTTTTTAATTTTTTTTTTTTTTTTTTTTATAAAGAGCAATTAACGTACGTCAAGTTTTCTAATTAGTGAGCTCTTGACTCGACAATTACCGTTTGATATTTTAAATAATACAACAAAATACTGATAATAATTATTGTTACATTTTTTTTGATGACACGTTGCATAAAATGTCAACTTTGATGTTTTAAATTATTTGTTTCATTTATTGCATGCTTTTTATTGGAAGTAATTGTAAAAAGGTCAGCATTTTTTTTTCAAAAGGTCAACAACCGAAACACTTGACTTTACGTCTCTGCTTGCATCTTAAGAGTTGTCGAGTTTAGGAAAAATGTGTCAACGAGCGATAAACTTTTTGTACTTAATAAGAGCAAAAAAGAAAAAAAAATATATAATTAATTACTCGTAGTTGAATTAGCTCACAAGTTGCCTTAAGTTGATCTTAATTATTTAATATAATTTTAACCTTTTGAATGTATTTTCACTTTAATGTAATTTACAAGTATTGATTTTTGGGCGTTACAGCGTAGTACGAAACAATAAATGAAGTATTTAAAGTATTTGAGAAGCCAAAGGGAACTATTAAATGGCTCATTAATGAAATTGCGCTTTGACAATAAATAATGTAATTGATGAAGATTCAATAGATATTAATAGTGTATAAATTAATTAGTTGAGCTAATTGATCTATTAAATTTTTTAGTGGAAAACCATGAATCTTCTATATCGATTATAATTCTTTGATATGGTATTTAATTAGTGTTAGTGCACTTAAAGTAATGTCGATTAATTTTAGATATAATTAAAATTAAATTTTTTTTGTAGTTCAAACTTTCAACTTTTAAGTAACAATTATACTAGTATTATTTTAGTGTTGTAGAGCAACTTTTAAAAAATATTAAAAATTTTATTTTTTTACGACTGATCGAAGTGGTTACTATTATTATTATTATTATTATTATTATTATTGCAAAAAAAAATGTTTTTTATGGAATTTATAACAATGAATTATTATGTAACTATCTGTTTACTACAATGTTTTGTACCTCTTGAGTTATTCAATAAAAACTTTCAAAGTAGTTTTTTAAGCGGATAAAATAGAATAATTTTCAGATAGGAAAATTACTTTACAGTAAATACATCTTCAAAAATATGAATGAACTCGGATCTGTGAACTGTTGTACCTTTATGATTCTACATATTTCTCAATTAAAAGAAGAATGTAACCCTTATCAGGTTTTTTTTTGTTTTTTACTCAGCAACAAAATTAATTCAAACAAAAGTAGATAGCTTTTGTTTTTACTTTTTTAATTAGACGGCCAGTGTGTACTCTTAATTGCTCGACATTTTGTAGTAAAAAATATTCGTGCATGTGAGTATTAAAAATAATGAGATTTTTTTTTATTTTTAGTCATTCTAATGTAAAAAGTATAATATAAAAAACGAAACGAGTCTGTGAATATTTTAAAATTACCAAAGAATAGTAACATTGTTGTTGTTATTATTATTTTAGAGAACTTTATATTTAATCAAAATATTGAAGTTGAAAATATTCTTAGTAATTATATCGAATTAGAGTCAACAGAAAACAGACTGCTAGCATATAAAAAACTAATTAATAAAAAAAATTATACATTGTATGTACTTAGAAACAGAATCTACAAACTCGTAAATTATACGTCTATTAAAGTAATTTCTTTTTTTTAATAAATTAAATAAAAACTTGAAATATAATCTATAATAGTTAGAAAAATTTAACAATATATATATTTCAAAAAATAATATAATACACCATAATATAGAATTTTTAAATGATTTGAAAACTAAAAAAAAATATCATAAATTGTTTTGGAAAAAAAAAAAAAAAAAAAAAAAAAAAAAAAAAAAAAAATACATTACAAAAAAATGTATGTTTAAAATTTTTTTACAATTATAAATAATAAACTCTGGTAAAACAAATTTTATTGTTTCTATTAATGCTACCTTGTAGTTTAAATGAAACAAGTTAAATAGAAAAAAGCAAAAGCCATTACAGAACTGTCTTAAAGTGAATACGTTATTTAAAAAACTAAATTTCTCTTTCTAGTATTTGAGAACAAGTAGCTTGATTAACGTAAATTTCATTTTTTTGTAGACAAAGTTGTGTTAAAATTTAAAAAAGTTATAATGCATAATAAATTATTACATAGCGTAAGATTCTGTTTTATGTTATGCTATGAGCTTTTTATCTGTCAGTAAAATTCGACAAAGATAACAAAGTCTGCTTAAGTAAATAATCAATACGCTTTAGCTACTTGAGCTAGTTTCTTTACACCTAACATACATTACATATCACATATTCTAGCAGTCTACTCAGTTGAAGCATTGTTATGAAGTAATCATTCATAATGGAATTATAGTAGGCTTACAGTAATTTATACTTCATTATTATTCTTGAAACTTTCAAAATATTCACAGATTAGTTAACAATCGATCATATTACAAAAATTATAAGTAGACATAAGAATCAATAAAAATACATTATTAACTATTTTTTAATGTGATTGATAATTGCTAACGGGAAATTAAAAACAATCACCTCTTCAATATTTGAAGAATTAACCAGATTAAATTTCAATAAAGTCATCGCTTATTGACATTTTTTTCACTTTAAAAACAATAAAAATAAAAAATAAATAAAAAAAAAATACTAACCGTGGATAAATCAATATTAATGTTTATTTAGTCCGATAGTAAGTAAACAGGATTAAAAGTCTGGTCAGAAAAAATCTTCAGATAGTCTTCAGTTGTAAATTCTTCAGGATGATGATCAACTTTTCAGCTTTAATCTATTATTTAGAAATTAAAAAAAAAAAAATGAATGTAATAATTCAACTACATTACTTAGATACACGCACATATATAATTTAAATATTTATATATTTCTTAATTTACAAAATAAAAATACCACAGCCTTTCGAACGGTCAGGTATTATTGTTATTTTTTCTTGTTAAACTTCTTATTGTTAATAATTAATATCCAATTTTTTTAATCTCCAATAATTATAATGTAATGAATTAATAATTAAATATTTACAAATTAAATAATTATAAGGCCTTTGGTAACGATAATAATCATCGACTTGTTTTTCTTTTCTTACGTTTAGTTTCGACGGACGGGTTAACCTCAACATCATCGTCCATACAGGAATAATTTATTTTTGGAACTTTTCTTTGCGAACTTCTAGTTTTTCTAACAGAATTAATACTTTTCATACTAGATTTTGGTTCTTTTAGTTTTTTCAAAGGCCTCATAATTCCGTCATTTACTTTTTTATAATTATTATCATTACTATCTTCATCATACTCATCATTATTATCTGAATAAATAATAATATTATTATTAGTTTGATGTTTTCTCTTTCTTTTATCACTATAATCATGGTAACCATCGTTAATTAAATTCTTATCATAGTTTCTCTCTATAATATTATTAGAGTTAATTTTACGTTTAATTAAATTATCATTGGAATTTGTTTCAAGCGTACCCCCCATTGATATAATCGACCTGTCAATATTCATAAAAGTATTATCATCTTTTTCGACTTTAATAGTTGTGGCTTCAAAATCAGTAGTGATGATAGACTTGAATCGCTTTTTAAGCGGTAATTGGATATTAATATCAGGCGAATAAATTTTAGTCTGCTGTTGCGGTTGCGGTTGTTTTGACTGCGGTTGTTGCTGCTGCCGTTCGTTATCGATATCAGCTTCTATTTTGCACAATAATTGGCCATCGTAAATTTTAATCTGATTATCGTCATGTGTTGTATTCAATGAGCAGTCTTGAATGACAGGAGACTGTTGGAGCGGAATGTAGTAAGCTGGGTCCATAGCTGAAGTTGTCTCGGTAACCATTTCACCAGCTGGCATCATGTATTGATTACAATGAGTAACAATGTCATAAGTACAGTTCAAGCATGTACACCGAGTTGATTTTTTATTAGAATGAATTGCAGCAGCAGCAGTCTGATGATTAACAGGAACACAAACAGAGTTACAATTCTGACGACAGGAAATATATAAATCCCCAGTTGCATAATTTGAATGATGGTACAAAGTAGATAGCGGATTTGATCCTGGTAAATGTATATGTGGATCATGATCTTGCGCATAAGACGAGTTATTTATATGGCTTGATAAATCATTCGTACAACTATTGAATTCTTGTTTTATACGACGTCTCCCATTTGCTGAAATTCCTTTGATGTCACTACAACTATTTTTATTCTTACCCACTTTCTTTAAATCCAATGCTTTTGCTTCACTTACCAGCTCAGCTTTTGTTGTACGGTGAATTTCTTGTGCTAACTCAAAACTCTTAGATCCTGCCGAGGAAAGAGGTTGAGAAATACGGTACGGATCGTATAGTTCACGTAAATAACTATCGTTCTTAATTTTGTCCATTTTTCCGGAATTCTTTTCTTTCAAAATTTTTTCATCATCATTATTATTATTATTAATAGTGTGTTCTCTGTTTTCAACAGCTTTATTTATAATATATAAATTACTATTAGGTGACTTTTGTAGCAAAACAATAGTTTCCCCATTTAATATAACATTTGTTTCTTCTTTATCTGACGACATTGTGCTTTCTACTTGAACTGAAGTAGTTGTTAATCCGTTAGATCTCTCATTACTACAATTACTATTACTATTATGATTATTATTATTATTCTTATAGGAGTAAGATATCGACGAAGATGATAAAGGAGATGATGATGATGATGAGGCCTCTTGATATTCTGATTTTGGAAAGCTAAAAGAATAATCTTCAGTAGATGATACTTCCACATGAAAAGCCACTTTGTCGATATCATCATCAGGATAAGTACTAACGAACCTGTTATCTTCATTCGACAGCAACATCTCACTATTGTGGTTACTATCATGGATATTATTCTCTTGTTTGTTGATGTCACAGAGAGTCAATAAACTGTTATAGTCTTTGACTTTAATTAATTCAGGTGATTTAGTTGGCTCGTTTGATATTGTCGTTAGATGTGAAACCCTTTGTGACACACTTGCTAACAAAGAGAGACCGTCAATATTTTCATGAAATTCTGCATCGCTTATTTTTAACTCAACTTTACCATTTAATTTATCTTTTTTCCTTTCTCTTTTCTCTTCGTTTTCTTTATCTCTATTTTTGAAATCAACAAATTCCGTAGTCTGATTGAAGTGCAGCACGGTATTTCGTTGGTGTTCATTCACTTCTAAATTTGTACTTTGGAGTTTTAAATTAGATTGACCGGTAATTTTTTTTTCATCAACACTCTTGTTATTTTCATTCTCACGGTACTTTATAACCAGGTACTCATTGTCTGATACGTTTGTATTACACTTAGTAGCATCAATAACATTATTCGGTACACTTGAAACATTTGATGTCGTTAAAACTTGTTCATAATCTTTATTATTATCAACAATCATTGGACTGGATAAATTAACATTCTCTTCAACAATAATATCTGAGTTTTTAATTAATTGCTTTTCATAGCCATCTATTGACTCTGAAGACTCCAAAGTAATATTATCTCTACATAGACTTTCATTTGTTTCAAAATTTACAGTATTGATTTCGACAGAACTCAGCTCACTCGAAATAATATCAACTTTTATATCTTCTTCATTTCTCTTTACTTCAATAGGAGTTATTGAATTATCTTGACTTGTTTCTGGCGAAGACAAAATTGTCATTTTAAGTTTCTTCTTTGTCTTGACTCTTTTATCTAAATCTACAGTAGAAGATTTAATACCAAGTATATCTTCAAGTTGCCGTAATGAATCTTCTTTGGTGGTTTTAGTATCTTCCGTGATGCTGGTATCTTGAATGGTCGCGGTACTTTTACGTTTAGATATTTTTTGTAACCAACTGAGTCGTATATGATCTTGCTTTTTTTGTTTTATAATTTTACCATTTGTATCGTCCGACGTAAGATCAATAAGTACAACGTTATTTTTTTTTATTGTCTTACGCGAATTGTTATTAGTATTTACTGGATTTATTATATTTACTAGTGAAATATCTTCTTCAATATTATTATCATTGTTTACGGTAACTTTTGATTCACTATTATTGTTATTCTCACTACTATTATTACTGTCATTACTATTACTAAATAATAAATAATTGTTTTTAATGGAATTTCCCTTCGATAAATTTAAAATTGCATTTAAATTATCTTCAGGCTGAGTTGTTTTAGAAAAGAAAAAGTTATTAATATATTTAATTAATAAATTAGTTGATATAACTAAATAGAAGAAATATATAATTAGAAATAAATATAAATTCTGAAATATACCTTTAAAATTTCTGTAGTGTTATCTAATCGGGTTTTTTCAATATTGCCGTAATCTTTTAATCCCCGAGACTTATGGCAAAATTTAATAAATGCCGCTGAAGATTTTTCCAACTCCATGTGTTGTGATAACATAAATTTAGTAGATATTTCTTGGTGGATATTTGGCACTTTTGGTAATACATGATCAATAATATACTGTGGAAACGAGGTAGTAGGTAATTTAAGAGAAGCCAATGCTTTGGCATTTATTTCATTTTTAATATTTTGATCTTTGGTGATCCTCTTCCATATTCGGTAGACGAGAAAATAACGAGTGTACATTAAACAGGAGGTCGGATGCTTTGGTACTGTGCGGAATATTGTTCTGTAATAATAAAAAAATTCATTTATTCAACTGTATGAATTCAAATCCTCTTAGTATTATGTATTTATATGTTTAGTATTACAATAATTAATATGAATAGGTCTATAAAGCTTTAATATAAATCCTAGCGATTGTCAATGAAATGCAATTCTTTTATATTTGAATATTTTAAATTAAACATCCACTTTTAAATTGATTTTTATTATATGATTCTATTCTCTTTTGTTGTTTTCACTATTTGACAGATAAATTGAAGTTTCGATTGATGAAAAAAAAAACAAATTAAAAGGGTGAATCAAAATTTACGTTAATTTATCAAGTTATAAAGAAATTAATTAAAATAAATGAAGTGATTTTTAATGTTTAAATAATATTTTATTTAAAATTCAAAGATCTCATTTGGAGTTAACAAAGTTGTTCTAAAGAGTAGAAATCAATTAAACTCATAATAGATTAAAATACCGTTTGAAGTGATTTTCAAACTACTGGCGTTAACAATTAATCATATAATGACTAATTTAAGCAAAATTTAATTACTTTATTTGACAACTTAAATTTAGTTGTTAAAATGTCTTTATGTAGTTAAAAAAATTTAACAAGTTTTTAAAATAAATGATAAAAAATAGCAAAAGTAATTAAAAGAAGAATTAACGGATAACATTGCACCCAGTATATTCAAAATTTTTATTATAAGTTCTCAACAGTTTATCGATCGGGTGAAGCTCTATAGGGTTGAAATTTTAGTATTATGATATGTCTACTCAGAACTTTGCTTGACGGCTTTCATTATCCAAAGTATAATATAGATAGAGTTTCTCTAAAATAATAAAGTTACTAATTTGAAGTATGTTTTTAAATAAATTCATGAGTAAAGTCTATGAATAGTTTTGCATTTTACAATTAAAAAGTTTCCAAAATCAACAAATGGCACGCAAAATTTTAATTTAATTAATGACTTCCATGAATTTATCGTGATGCGAAAAATAATTACAGAAATTGAATGACAGATTTTTTTTCATATCTTTGACACTTTCGTAATTTTGGTGGTTTAGAAATTTATTGTATATAAATAGAGACATGATTCTTGTACTTTCTATAGCAAGCGAGATATTGATTATTAACGTCTTCCCTTTCAGAATACAACTGCTTGGAACAGAGCCAATGATGCTTGTTATACTTATTTGCAATTGCAAAAATAAAAACTGAGTCTATAGATTGAAAATATTAAAAAAAATAAAATATGATTTCGTGACAAATAAAAAAAAAGTATAATAAAATATCCCACTTATTTGAAGAGCGTTATTTGCTATTTTTTATCGAGCAAGTATACTAGAAAAATAAGGGAATTATCCTATAAATTTTTCATTATTATCGACGTATTCTATTCATGTCAATTCGTCCTTAATAAATGGGTATTACATTCCAAGTTCATATTAATATTAATAATACTTTTCATGCCTCCCATTGGTACTTACGTTATAATCGGATTTATTATTTGATAGAATGTAGAACTCATAAATCGAACTTTCAGGATTGTGTCCAGTAGGTGCTCAGTTGAATTTTCTAGAAAAAAAAAATTTTTTAAATATGAGTACTTTCACTTTTAAATAATCATGAAATGATTGAAAACTCTTGAAAACTCGACAGAATGCCATGAACAAAAAATGTATTATTTGAGAATAAGAGTTGCGCTAATGTACGTAAATATTGTCAAAATAAAGAATTTATAAACTTTACTTAAGTTTTTTTTTTTTTTAATAATTAATGCATTATTTATTTAAAATCCAAAAATAGAAATGGGTATAAAATAATTAAAGAAGTTATTTCTCTTGAAACCTTACAAAAAACGAAAACTCATATTAGATTAGTGGTTTAAAGTCTATCAGTGAGACTATACGGTAGCCAATGAAACTACTATTTTTACCAATTTTTTTGTTTAATCCAATCACTTTATTGAAAGTGGTATGAAGAATAAAAACTCGCTAAAAATTTAAATCCCTTAATAACTTCTAAATCAGTTATAAAAAAATTTTTTAATTTTCAAATTCATATAGATTTTTTTTTGTTATTATTCTATTGCCCGCCGAGACAACAAAACGATTAAAAATTCATAAACTTCTAAAGAAAAAAAAAAAATTTTCTTTTACTAGTAAAAAATGCAGAATCTCACTTTTAGACCATTACCAAGTAGCGTATTAATTGGTCTGTAAAGCACTAAAACTAATTGAAATAAATAATATAACATAATAAAACAAAATACAGAATGAAATTTTACCTAAATAAATATAAAGATACGAAGCTAAACGACCCGAAATTCTTTCATGATATTCACAGGTTCGTTTTGATGCCTTCAGTTCTAAGTCTATATACATAGCCAATAAATCAGACATTAGGTCCATGTAAATTGCTCGGTCGTACTTCTGTAAATACATGAATACCAATTATGAATAATTCTATAAATAATAATCATTGCAGACATTTATATAAATGAAAAATGATTAGCAAATAACTCACCTCTTCATGAGACCTGTAATAATACTTGAAAAAGAGTAGAGTTTCACTGATGAATCCTTTTAGTTTGTCCGCCCGTAACGGTTTTGTTTGACATTCGTTTACCGTGGGCCGAATATTTCTGCAATTTTAATTAAAGAGACGTGTTCAAATTTGTGAAACTATAAATAAAAGAAGAGTTTTTATTTATTTTCATGAAAAGTTTATTGGACTGGCAGTAGCAGAATCCAAAGTCCGTTAAAGCATATAAAATCAATTAAATTATTATGTAAATACAATTTAATTACGCATGCAAATTAGAATTCGTACCGCCAAATATATATCATCAATTCAGTACTAGGTGTAACAAACCATCTAATATACAATATTATTGTTATGTGTGTTTTAATATAATTTACATACTACTATTTTAAATAAACTTAAGATGAATTTTAATTTGATTTATTTCTCCAATTAATTCTATCTCGAGCGAAATTAAAAGTTTTTATCAATAGTACATACATATTCGATAAAAAAAAAACAACAGAAGAATATCCAAGAGATATTATTTTTAGTAGGAAAATAGTAAAAACAGTAACAGTAAAACCTTAACTCGTTTAATTAACTACGCAGATGTTTAAAAAAGTAAAATTATTTGTGTCGATTTAAATCGCTTTATTTAATTAAATTATGATCGTTTATTATAAAAAATGACTATTTTTTTTTATGTATTAATCATTTTTTTACCTACAAATTGTAATTTATATCATACATGATATCTCTATGATACTTGAATATTTTTTTACATCGTAAATTTTTAGATACATTTCTTTTAGTAAACTTACACTAAATGAACATAATTATAAAAAAAAAAAATTAGAAAAACGGTTCACCCTAAAGGCCATCCGTACAACTTCCCGCTAATTCCATTCCTGGGCGCTTAAAATTGTACTTATGACATTTTTGAGATTTTTAAGCGCAAAAAATAATTTATGTGATATTTTGAGCTCGCTGAGTTCAAAGAAATAATATTTCTATGCATTTGAGCTCTCCCAGCTCAAAAGTCTGATAGAAGTTTCATAGAACACTATTTTTGGAATTTTCAAACCGGAATAACTTTTGAAATCAACATTTTCACGCGGTTGGCGCCATTCGACGCAGTTTTGTCATCCTCATAAGTGATTTTCAGGTTTTAATTGATCGAACCGAAAATTTCGGAGTAATCCCGAAAAAACACTTTTTTCGGTTTTCTTTCGTTCACGATATCTCTCGAACGAATCAACCGATTTTGACCGGATTAGCACCGATCGGCGTGGTTTTTCAAGCTTAAGGGCGGATTAGTTTTTGAAGTTGATCGATCGAGCCGTTTAAAAGATATTCCAAAAAAACCACTTTCAAAACTGATTTTTTTCTTATTTTTTTTTAAGATTTTTCAACATTTCTCAAAATCTATCGGTCCGAATCGGTTCAAATTCTTAGAAAATCTAAGTTTGAGGGAATTCTTTAGAACGCCGTTTAGTTCGTTCCGATCGGTTCAGTCGTTCAAAAGTTATAAGCGAGTCACACACACACACACACACGCGCGCGCGCGCGCGCACATACACACACACACAGATTTACGGACATCATCGCAGAAACATTCGGGGAAGCTTCCTAGGACCTCAAAACGTCAACATCCGTTGAAAACTCGATTTTTGAAAAACGAGGTGAAACCAATAAATTCCCGATTTTTGAAAATTTTCAATTTTCTTAGCGGGAAGTTAAAAATCAAGTGAAATTAACCGGTCGGCAAAATTTACGCTTGATAACAAATCGACTAACAAAGTAAACAATTTAAAAAATGGTAAAACTTTTTATAGTTAGTTTTTTAGTTGGACATGTGTTATTGATGAATAGTCAATACGAATTGAACTTTTTACAAACAAAAAAAAATATAAAACGGAAAAAAGTAAGTGAAATCATTCAAAAAAAAAAAGCTAAATCTTCTCAAGTTTCATTTCATTTAAGAAAACTATTATTCATCAATTTTCCGAGTTGACAGAGATATATGTAATTTTTAATTAATAAATAATTCAGAAAAAAAGATAACTCTACAAAAATAAGTTATTCATTTTCTCAATAACTGTTGATTTTACTAAAAAAATTATCCATTTCATTTTAAACTGATAATTTTATTCATTATTACAAATTAAAAAAATTAACGATAGCAAACAGTATAAAAATAATGAATTGTACAAAATAACACAATTTAAGTAAAATTTTACTGTTAAAAATTTTGATTAACTCATAAAGTTATCTGCGACAGTAAATATTAGTAATTACAGGTTTATAATTGTGAAAAATTGGTGTTTAAACTGATAAATTTTTTTTTTTGGTGTAAGAAATTAAAAATAAAAGCGTTAATTACAAATAAACTGAAATTTATTCACGAAATTTCGCTAACGGGTGATTGATTACAGTGAACTTTGAACTATGTAATCTTTTTTTTTTTTCAACTAACACGTTTGTTTTTTGATAATTTAAATCATCGAACAGCGAATTTTAAAGTCAGTTAATTTTAATATCAAATTAAAACAACAAAAATTATTTAAGTTCAACATTAATACTTAAAAATATTTTTATATTTAACAATAATCATGTGCTTTGTTTTAAAAAAAAAAATTTTTTTCAAATATACATTCTAGAGTCAATGTATTAATTGAAATTAGCAAATTTCGATCTGTTTGCGATTATCCGTGAATAAATTATTTAAATAACTATCGAGTATATAAATAATTCAGTATATAAATCAAAGGTTATATGACATAAAAGATTCCCATTAATTTGTAAATTTGTTTGTTGAAATTACTTTTACAAATTTTCTGGTATTGAAAATCATCAAAAGAGCTTTGAATATGGAAAATTACTCATAAATATTAATTACATTCAAATATGTATGATACATATTTATCTAATTGAAAATAAATAATAGTTTAAAAAAACTAAAAACACGCTTTTTATAGAAAACCAAACTAAAAAATAGAAAATAAATTTAAATTAAGAATA